CTGGGGGGGGAAAGTAGAGCAGGGGAGAACATATCAGGGAATTGAATTTTAGGTAAAAGGACCAGAGATGAATGGACTAAGAAAATGACATTGGAGGAAGGCCCAAGGCACAGCTGGGAGCTTCCACGCTAGGGTAGGGGAAAGCCATTCAGCCCCAGAGGGGAGGATCAAATGCAGGATGAAAAAGTATGTCTGCTTGTTTGGGGCATGCAGGGAGTCTCATGCGACAGGAACAGAGTGTGTGCAAATGGAAAGAGGGGCTGGGTGGCCTGGAGTCAGTCAGCGGGGCTCAGCATCTTAAGGATCCTTGTCAGAAATGTCTTTTACTCTTAGTGAGATGGGGAAGAGTCACTGAAGGGGTTGGAGGGAGAGGGCAACACAATTCAATTTGCGTTTTAAAAAAATTATTTTGACTGCACTGCTGAAATAAGCTACCCCGTGGGCCAAACCCAAAGCAGGAATACAGTCCCTGTAGTAATGTCAGGATGAGGGGAGGGGTCTGGACCAGTGGAGTAGCAGCAGGAGTGTAGAGATGTGATCAGAACCTGAATCTATCATGTAGACAGAAATGCCAATAACAGCAAACACTGGCATAGCTTTACTTGTGCCACGTTCCACTCGAAATGCTGACATATGTTCATTCTTTACCTATGAGGAGACTGAAGCAGAGACAGGTTAAGAAAATTGTCTGAGACTCCTAGCTAATAGATGAAGCAAATTTAGTCTAACTTCTATTTTCTTATCCACAGCATTATCGGATCATTCTAAATAAATGTTTTTCTGCTGCCCTTCTAGTTCATTCTAGTGGTTATTCTTAAAGAATATATAAATTGTAAAAGAAACATACCCAGTGTTACTTTGGAGCATGAGTGAGGTAGAACATTACAGACTGTCACTCATGAATGGAAGCATACATATTCAAAACAGAAGTTGCTTCCAATTTGTTGGGAGTATTATAGGATTTCAATGACTTTAGGATAGGATCAACAAAGAAAGAGTACCTGTGCTAATTAGGATGACTGATCAGATCAGAGCTGTGTAATGTAAGTGCTTTGGGAATATTATCTTGAGCTCTGTAGAGAAAGCAAATATCCAGGAGTCTCTCTATTCAGGAGGAAAGTAGCATGAACTTAAAATTGTATTGGTCCCTGGGACGCCTGCAGTGAAATGAGGTTCACTATTTGGGATAACACTAAGTTTAGTAACTGGGGTTATAGCTCCCCTCTAACAGACAGGTTCTAGTGTTTCAAGAGCAGAGGGATTCATTCCTGGCTCTAAATGTTTGTAGGATTAGCAGTTCCTAAAACCAGGATTCTGTTTTTAGTACAAGGAACCCTGAGAACTACCAAAATGGCTCTTATTTTAAAGCATATAAAGACATTTTCAGGTGAATCTGACAGAATAATTGCATGTGAGAGACCTGGAGAGAAAGAAGAATTAATGACTCTTGTCACTAATTCTATTCTTTGTGGATGATACTGAACAGCTTTTGGAAGAGAGCTGATTTTTGATAAAATAAAAGGTAAATGTCTGTGCAGATATAATAAAGAAAAAGAATATCTTCCAAAGATACAATTTGAAGTAGATATCATTATTAATGTTTGTAAGTCATCAAAGAAATATCCCCCATCCCTGTACTTTCTTATCCTTTATAAGTAGTCCTGATTCAAATGTCTACTCTTCTTTATTAACAGTGGTAGCACTGTGGTTTTCATTTCTGTGATTTACAAGCTTTGTCAAGTTTATAATTAATGCCATACTTGTTGCTTTCATTAATAAAACATGACTCAAAATAAGAATGATCTTTTACTTTTGCTTCTTATGATATTTAATAGAAGTCATTTAAATATCAATTATCACAGATTAGGAATGTGAAAGGCATTTGGGGATTGAATTTTAATCTTTTAATATATATTTATTTCCTTTTCTCAATAAGTTGTCAGAAATATTTTGGGGCTCGATCCTATCATTATTTTCATATGCGTACTAATCCTTTCAAAGATGATTTTAAGCCAAGAAAAAGAAATCTATATAAAGCATGTATACACATGCACATATATAAAACTTTCTAACCAATACAAAATTTCTACATAAAACCAATCAGAAATTGACAATGAAAATAATAATTTGGATGATATCCAAAGATGTGTTATTGAAGATTTATCACGTAAAGTCAATGTACTATTCTGGTGTGTGTGGGGGGGGTTTCAGTAATGAGGGAAATAGTGAAAATATGAGAAACCTCTACATGTTGTTTAATTCTGCTGTGAATCTAAAACTGTTCATCCCAAATAAAACCTATTTAAAAAATTATTGAGGGCTTTCTCTGGTAGCGCAACAGATTAAAGCACTGAATTATGAAGCTCTCCGAAGCCACTGCAGCCCGAGTTCCATCTCCCGCCAGGGAGCTGACCCATTTGGCAGTAGACCTCTTCTGACCTGCCCGCTGCTCCCCTCAGCAGTGTACTTTGTCAATCGTCAATCTGCCTGTTCTGCTCCCCACTCTGTCTCTGGTGAATCCTCTCACCCCCTCCCCCCATACCTCTGGCCTGTTTCCCAGTTCTGTAAGCATAAATAAATAAATCTTTAAAAAAAATTATTGAAATTTTAAGCTGACAACAATTATATTAAAAACAGCCAATCCAAGTTAAAATTTCTTTGATAATGTTCCACTTGATAATAATGTAAACATATATCTTATGATGTACACAAATATAAGAGTAAAAAGCACTAGGATATACAAGGATATCATAAGCGACAATGAGAATGTTAAAGTGTGTGTAAGATAGTTGATTGGCATGTAAATGTAATCCTTCACTGTGTCAGTTTCCTTGGGCAGAGTTACTGAGTGTAAGTGCTACATTTGGTGCTCAGTTCCAGAGTAAAATGGCGACAGTATTTCTGGGTTCACATGTCATGACAGGTCACCTGTTGATACTGCTGTGAATTCCAAAGATGTATTTGGAAGCAAAAAGCACAGGAAGTGGTCACTGGATGGGGTGTGAGGGAAACAAGGAGTCAGAAGGGTGAGAGCGGTCACTTTCCTGGGCTGGGCTCTGGTTTCTGGGGATTCTGAGTCAGTCCATCCTTCTGACCCCGGGACTCCCGTGAGTAGTTCTTTCTCTGAGGTGAGCTGCAACTTGCCCTTCCATCTACCATCTGTGCAAGCTCGCACCCAGTGTTTGTACCCACATAAGCCCTTCTGGCCCATTAACTCATTACTGTTACCCATTTTACTATGACTTCTATTCTTGCAGTTTGGAGAGGAGAGTTGACTTAAGCATCTGCAAGGCCATCACATGCTCTGGATCCTTCAAGAACTGGGAGGTTTTACATAGGACTGATGTCAGTACATAGCCTTGAATGCTACTTTGCTACAGCTGATTCTGTGGATGCTTCTAGCTACCCCTGATTCTCTGGATGCTTCTATTTTGTCAGTAGCACCTGAGTGATCTTACTTGATATGGAGGAATATGGTTCAAGCTTACTGACTTTTGAAGCATTTTACAATCTAATTGTGCAAAGTTTTTTTGTGTGTTAACAAGAAAAAGACCCAAACTTCTATTATTCTTTTACTTTTGTAGCACGCTGTCTTCTCCCTTCTGTCTTAGGTGTCCTGAATTGAAAATTACAGGATTATGTGGAAACACTTTTTCTTTTGTTTGCTACATTGGATCTCAATTTTTCACTTTTGAATGTAAGAAATGTAGACACCCTAGAATCTAAAGTGCGCCATATTTATAGCCTTTCTCAATTCTCAGGGCAATAATCATTGTGGACTTTCAAGATGGAATATTTAGAGATGTTGTTCCAACAGAATCCCAGGCTGGTTCTGCGGAAGCCCAGGCATCCCTCCTACAAACCTGGAGCTGAAGTTTATGGTTGGCTGAATAAATTAATAGAATTAACAAGATTGCTGGCTTGGAGAATATTTAATTGATGCCTTGCTTCAAAGCACTTTAAATGAATTATTTTTTGAAAACAACTTCTGATTGAATTGTTGAATTGATAAAAATCTTAGAGCAGAAGTGGAGTTTAGGGATCAAAGACTCTCAGAGCTTGAAGAAACTGTGGGGGAAAAATGCAGCAGCAAATGTGCTCCAGGCTACATGACCTTTTTCTGCTCCTTCCCTGTCAGCTGAGCACCTTTTTCTAGTCATGTCAGTGGGACACCATCCGGGAACTGTATTTTATTGGTTTAGTGTCAATTGATTTGAAAGTAATCAATAATTTTTCAAAAGTGAATCTGATTTTCAAACTAATTGACCCCCGTAATTTTCTTCTGGTTTTAAAATATGTGCACCATATTTGACTTTAAAATTGGGATTTAGTTGATTAGTAGCTAGTAACAATCTGTAAATCCAGATGAAGTGAGGACTAAACTTGCTTATATCTTTCCCTTGTAAGTTAAACTTATATACATATGTTATATATGTATAACATATATATATATTATGATAACATTTATGAAACTTTCTAAGGATAAATTTTTAAAAAGAGTTTTGTGGTGCCTGGGCTTTATATTTAGAAGGAAAAAATGACCTTCAGCCTGAAATAAAAGTGATATGTGAAAATCAGAAACAGATTTGTACAGACTTCCCTATGACTGCAATTCAGTCACCTTTAGAATTTGGGATTTATCTGACTTTGAAGTATATTTACTGTTTGATTTTTTGTTTGCCTTTTATTTTTGTCAAAGCAAAATCAGCAAATATTTGCATTGCTTTGTTTACCATAATGCTAATTTCCTATTACTTTTGGCAGGTATCATGACTCACATGTATCAAAATTTTCAGAAGTTTTACCAAATAATTTGAAAATTTCTAAGAGCCATTTTTAAGTTATCAAATAAACTATCACAGTGTATTGGATGTGAATGTTGATGTTCAGAGGGTAAATGATGCAATGTTTCCCTCTAGTTCCTCTAGGAGTTTTGCATTTCTCTTGCTTTTAGCATTTGTGAATTTCTAACTCACTAGATTCTTTTTTATTCCTTTCAGGTAAACATGTTACCAGAAATACAGCATCACCTTTGCAGAAAAGAAGGATTATGTCAAATAATTAGAAGATTTCCAGGTAATATTTCCTTTGCTTCTTTATGCATTATATACTTGTAAGATATGTAGGCTTCCTCAATCAAGACCTCATATCAGCATAGTTACTTCTTTTGTCAATCAATTCCACTATCATAAATCTTCGAGAATCCATAGGCTTTGTCAGTGGTAAGACCTTGATAAAAAATGAATATAGATATAGGTGTGGTATTTTTTTTACATTTGCTTTCTAGGAGAATATTCCTTTCCTTTTCTTTTCCTTTTTTGGGTCTTCAAAGTAATTGCTGCTTTATTTTAAAATGATTTTTATAGTACTTCATTGTATAAAAGTTGAGGTTTAAAAAATTATGTTTGCTCATGACTATGTGATTCTGAGCCTCATGGATTTGCTGCTGCTTTTTCAAATCTTCTCAATCTGTCTGTGAGCTGAAGACAGGATGCTGAATGAGTAAATTCTGTCTGGACAATATTTGAAATTTGGGACAAAAGTTTCCACTTCCAGAGCAGGGAAAAACCATCAGGTGGTATAAGAGCCTTCAGAGAGGAGATTATAGCCTGCTTTAAAATACTTCAGTGAAAGGGCTCCTTGGAGTTCCTCTTCAAAACCATTTAATGTTCAACAACATCACCCCCTAGAAAAATTTTCACTATATTATTAAAATTTAGATCTGCATAGCTTTAACTAGTTTTTTAAAAAAATAGTTTATGTTTCAGTGGAATTGGAAAGCTGGTATCTATCTCCTCATTTTTCTCAAGGGATTTTTGTGCCTTGTCATAAAGACAGAGGTCATCTAAGGTCATTTTCCAGAGATTAAAATAAGGTAAAAATGAGTCAGCACTTTCACTTGTGGTTTAAGACATGAGTTTAAAATAAATAATAGCTACATAAACATAGTCCTGTAGTTATTGCTGATGAGGGCAATTGTAAATGACTCCATCATCTTGAACATTTGCTTTTTCTTTATAAACTACAGTTGTTTTTGTGAGAAGCAAGCAAAGTATTTCCATGAATACATTATTAAATACCTAGAAATCCTTTATTTAAGGCGATTTCAGAAAAAAATGTTTATACTTTGAACACAGTCTGCATATTTTCAAAGGCTGCCTTTCTTTGTTGTTATTTACATTTCAAAATGTTTGACTCAGAACATTAAGGTATTTTTTTTTAATATGGAGTTAGCAGAATAGAAGTATAGACATGAAAGACCATTTGTAACCAAAAATAGATTACCAGTTTTTTAAATTTCCCAAATGACTCCTACATGATTATATATTTCACATGTTGCTATCACAAAATTAAGGATTTTTTCTGCATTTTGCTGTAAATTTTTTTATTCTCAAGACATCTTTACATTTCAGACATACATAGTCCTTTCTTCACTCTGTCTAATATATTAGTTTTCTATTTGTCTCTGTGACTAAATTAATTAAATTATTTTGGATGTGTAGCTTTAAAAGAATATGTCTATAGCATGATTTCTTGTGTAAGCTTTATAGACAATAGCTTCTGTTGTAGACCTTTGCTATGATTATATAGTATATAACATAGTCTCAGTCTGTACAAGATTAAAAAGCTTTATTTGTTGTGGATACTGAATATTTTTTGTTAAATACAGATCAGAGAGTGACACATGTGAGTACCTAATACACAATACTGCTAAAAAGATAAGGTAGTAAAAACTAAACAATAGTTTCGTGTATATTTTTCATTTTAAGGCAGAATGGTCCATGTCTTCTTAAACTATGCTGTTTATTGGAGGTAAACAAAACAAAAATTTTGAAGCCAGATATTCTATTTCTGTTCCCTATTAGCTATGTAACTTAGCTTTGGGTGTTGGTGTTTTTGTTTTTTTAACTATAAAGTAAAAATGAGACCTTTTTTTTCATGGGATTAATTTAAAATTTAAGCAGATTTTATATATATATATATATATACATATACACATATATGTATATATGTGTATGCATGTATATATGTGTATGTATATATATGTATGTATGCATATGTGTATATATATATGTGTGTGTGTGTGTGTGTGTGTATATATATATATATATATATATATATATATATATATATATATATATATATAAAATCTGATTTGATATTTAATTTGGTGTGTTAGACCTAACACATAAGATTCAAAAAATGGTCACTGGATCACCCTAGATTTGAAAAGTGAAACAGGCTTCTTAACACTTAACATTTTCTTTTTTATATGGTTGATTATCACTCTGACTTTTTATTCCTGTCAAAAACTGTGACACCTCTGAGCTCTCACTGTGCATCCAAGTTCACAAGTCATCTTGCCAGTTTCATAGGTTCTGGCAGAAGGCGTGAGACTCCTGGGTCAGAGACAAATGACTTCGACATTCACTGACCCAGCTCTTACAGGGTGGTATGTAGCAGGCTGGGTGACACTGTGTACTTGGTAGTTTGCAATTCAAGAGAAGAACTTCAAGCTTAGGGACTTTGAATGTTATGTGATAGACAGTGAGTTTGCCTGTCCTTAGTTCCAGAGAGAGGCATTATTTTCTTATATTGGACAAAACCTTCTCATTGCTTCAGAGTAAGACATCATCTCTATCTTGCAAGGTTATCCACTCTATTAATTAATATATTTGAAAAGATCGTTCAGAACAAAGCTTGTCAGTGTCTCTGCAAAATGTGCAGAAGTATAAAAGATGCATGGAGAGGTCACCTAACAGTGAGGAGAATACCTGACAAGTTCTAGCTCAGAAGTGGAATGATTTATAATTCTGAGCAAGATTTGAAGCTGAGTGCTACTTTGGTTTCCTTTTCTATAAAAGTGTGACATTTGGCAATGATCAGGAGTGCTGAGGTTCCATGATTCCAATGTAATGTTGTCCCAGAAGGGCATGCTGCCTCAGGCTTTCTCTTCAACAGTAGGTAGATACAGGGACACTAAGAAAGGAGGGATGATCACACTGGTAAAGGTGGTTGGGCCCTGTGAGCCTGGCAGGGCAAGCAGCTTTGGCCAGATGCAGAGCAGCGTTTGAGACAGCAAGGACGGCTACACTGGCTGTTCCATTCCGTCCTCAACAGAGAGTACCTGCCATTAGACTGATGACTCACACTGAAGGGCACGAATCCATGGAGTTTTTACTGGCTAGCACGAAGATCTATTTTTATCTTGCCATTTAATATTTGCCTGTTAAAAGTTTCGTAATTTTTAGTTGGCCCAAACTTACTGCTAAAGCCTTTTAAGTTTGGATTTTTTGATAAAAAAGAATGCCTTTCCCATATTTGAAATTAAAGAAGAAAACAAAACATCAGACCACTGTTTTCCTTGGTTCCTGAGTTGCTGTTTTTGTTCATTTTCCTGCAGTATCACTCTCCAAGAAGTCCTGGTTAGGAGAGTGCCAAACTTTGGCTATTACTCATTCTTTCCAGTAGGTTTTTTTTTTCCCTCCTTGGCTCTCAAGCACTGACTTCCACATGAAATTTGAAATACACCCAGACTTAGTACTCAAAGTTAGAATTTTGCACATTTTAGAACCTGTGTTCTCATTTTTGGGTGTAATATGTTACATAAAGAAGGAAGAAAAACAAACAAACAAACAAAAAACACTTTTGTTACATCTAGTCTTTAAAAACAAGACTAGTCTTTAAAAAATTATGGACATTTACTAACATATGGAGAAAACAAGCCTTTAAAATAACATCATTGAGAGCCTTCCCTGGTGCTGCAACAGTTAAAGCACAGCACGATGAAGCTATCCAAAGCCACTGCAGCATGAGTTCGATCCCCAGCCAAGGAGGTAACCCACATGGTGTGGCAGACCTCTTCTGACCTGCCCGCTGATCCCCTCAGCAGTGTATTTCAGTCAATCTGCCTGTTCTGCTCCCCACTCTGTCTCTGGTGAATCCTCTCACCCCCATCTCCGGCCTATACCCCAGTTCTTGTATGTGTAAATAAATAAATATTTAAAAAATAAATAACATCATTTAAATTATTTTAAACATTGTCCAAAAGCAGTTATTTATTTTGCATGAACTTGATGATTGCTTTTCATATGACAGCTCTAAACATTCCTGTTAATCATATGCTATCAGTGATCATTGTTAAGGAGCCAGAAGCCTAAGGAATAAATAGAGCAAGTTGGAAAGTGTCAATGTTTCATACTACTTGAGTATACTTATTGTTCTCATTTTCTTTCCCCCCTTCTGCTGTAGCTGGGGGTACTGTTCTCCTTCAAACAAGAAGTAGGAACATTTCCAGTATGCAACAAGCTTGGGGTCTCATCTCTACAAGGCAATTGGCCACATTTCAGAGGGCCAATGTTTGCTAGTTTTTTGCACACTCCAGTGCTGGTAGTTCCTCCCTGTGTCTCCTGCGTGTTCCTTCTTAGTTCTATCTTGCCAAAGACTTCTAACTCCTGTCCCACTTAAGATTGTCTTCTTTCTATAAAACACTTTTCCCCCAGTAAAACACATCTCTTTAGTAGGACTGACTTCAGCTAGGTGATAGCAGACAGTAAGCTGATGGAACTAATTCAGACTAAATTACACCCTCACCCCAGTTATAAGCCTCTTAGGTATATTTGCATTTTTATAAAAGAAGCTTACAGACCCAATGAATTTCTAATTGGTAGAATTTCTGCAAGTGCATTCAAACTCCATTCAGTTCGTCAGCAAGTCTTCACTCCCTAACTCACCAACTATATCTACTTTTCTAGATCTCTAACATGATCAGCTCAGGCCTAGTCAGCACTCATACTCTCCCCACTTCCTGTCTTGCCCCTGAAAAAAATGTAATGTTATCGAGGCTGCAGCCAGAGTGAACCTTCCCTCACCCCTTTCATTAAATAAAACAAGCTAATTAGGTTTGCTCACAGCAGTCTCTCTGGCCTCTGATGCTCCTTTTGGTACTGGGATAGATTTTTATCTAGACCAGAAGTAACACACAAAAATGTTTTTGAGAGGCCTGATATATGACATTACAGATCACAAATTCAGAAACTTGAGAGACCAGATTATCTGCACATTTTCAGTATTTT